AACAGGACTAAGACAACTGCATAGCTCATTGATTAGGAGGCTGTGCTCTATCTATGAATGAGTCAAGTTCTCATTAAACAAATTTGGCATGCTGGTCTTCTCCATAAGCTTGCTTCATATGGTGTTTCTGGGAAAGTTTTTGAGATTATCAAATCATTTCTTTCTGACCGGTTTATTAAAGTCATCCTTGAAGGCCAACACTCTTCTTTATTTCCAGTAACTTCTGGGGTTCCCCAAGGTTCCATCCTGGGCCCTGTTTTGTTTCTTATCTACATAAACGATCTTCCTGACAACCTTTCATCTAAAGTTTAAACCTTTCATCTAAAGTTTAAACTTTATACTCCTGTCTTGACAAAAAGTCTTCTCTTTTCGATCGCCTAGAACATGCAGCTGATCTTGAATCTGATCTCACTTCAGTAATAGATTGGGGTTCACAGTGGCTTGTGAATTTCAACTCTAAAAAAACCCAATTGCTTACTGCAAACAACTACCGTAATATGGTCAACATTCCTATATTAATGAATGGCAATCCTCTTACTGAGTCGTCCTCTTTACGTCTTCTTGGATTATCGCTTACTACTGACCTTTCATGGAAACCATATATACAATCGATTGCTAAATTAGCTTCTGCTAAGGTTGCTTCTCTTTATCGTGCTCGCCATTTCCTTACTCCTGATTCCATTCTCTACCTCTACAAATCTCTTATTCGTCCCTGTATGGAATACTGTTGTCATATTTGGGCTGGTTCTTCTAACGATTCACTCTCTCTTCTTGACAAGGTCCAAAAACGCATTGTAAATGTTGTTGGACCTGGACTATCTGCTAAGCTTGAACCTCTTTCCCATCGTCGTAAAGTTGCATCTCTTTCTCTTTTCTACAGATACTATCACGGTCACTGCTCAAAGGAGTTATCATCTCTAGTTCCATCAACTAAAATTCATTCTCGTTTTACTCGTCATTCAGCTAAGTCTCATTCGTTTTCTGTATCTGTCCCTGCATGCTCTAAAAACTTTTATTCATCTAGTTTTTTTCCCCGCACTTCAATTCTTTGGAACTCTCTCCCATCTTCATGTTTTCCTGACTCATACAACCTTCAACTTTTTAAGTCTTCTGTCAACCGTTTCCTTGCTCTATAACTCTGTTCTTTTTTTTTCCTAGTAACTCCCAACTTAATAGTGGTTGCTTGCAGCCTTGTTGGGAGTGAATGCAAATAAAAAAAAAAAAAAAAAAACCAAATCATGACCAAAGTAACCAAAAATTTTAAACCTAAAAAACCATCCCCACCACCTAAATGTTTTAATATATCTTTTACAAATATTCGCGGTCTGCAAAGCAACTTTCCGTCAGTTGAGTCTCACCTCCAGCGAAATTCACCAGACTTGCTTGCACTCATTGAAACAAATTTAAATTCTGCAATTCCTTCTTCAGATGTCAGTGTTGATGAGTACTATCCTTTGATTCGTAAAGACTCCAATAGTCACATGCTAGGTTTAGGGGTATACATACGCATTAATTCCCCTATTTGTCGTAAAATCAGGTTCGAATCCTTTGACCATTCTTTTATGCGCTTTCGCCTAGCACCTCTTCACTCTATCACCTTTCTCTTTGTTCTTTATCATTCTCCTTCTTCCCATGATTGGACTCTTTTAGATGTTATCTCTGATCAAATTGACCATGCCTTCTCTCTTTACCCCTCTGTCAATAATGTTGTTTTAATGCCAATCACACTGAATGGCTTGGCTCTAACACCACTGATCCTGCTGGCACTAAAGCCTTTAACTTCTGCGTTTCTCAATCTTTTACGCAGATAGTTAACTTTGTGACTGGTTCTCTTGATAACCCTAATCATTTACCTTCACTCCTTGACTTATGTCTTTTCTCTGACCCTATTATTCTCAGTTCACTAAATCTCGCATCTTATCAAAGAAGTTAGGCTCTAAAGACTTTTGGAAAATCTTTAACAGCATTATTAACAAGGGTAGATCTAACATTCCATCTCTCATTCATGGGACTGATCTTATTACCTCTCCCAAGGATAAGGCAGAACTATTTGCAAAGAACTTTTCTTCTAATTCCACTCTTGAATCTTGTGGACATTCTCTTCCTTCCATTCCAGTCAAACAGGTTGACCTATTGTTAGACATTCAAATCACTCCAGCTTCTGTTGCTAAAGTGGTATCTCAATTAAACTCGTCTACAGCTTGTGGTCCAGACAACATTCCTGTCACAGTCTTGCAGAATTGTTCTCCAGAACTTTCTTCAATTCTCTCTAAACTATTTAACAAGTGTTTGACTGAGTCTTGTTTTCCTGCTTGTTGGAAAATGGCATCTGTGGTTCCAATATTCAAAAATTCTGACCCCTCTAATTATCGTCCGATCAGTCTTCTTTCTGTTATTAGCAAGGTCTTTGAGTCTTTGATCAACAAATTCCTCACATCTCATCTTAATTCAAATAAACTACTGTCAGACAATCAATACGGTTTTCGATCCTCTCGCTCTA